ATGCCATTAACAGAAATTGATTGGCAAATAATTTTAAACCACTCCTAAGTGAAATGTACTACTAAATTGCCTTCAGGGTGGTGGTGTGGGTTGGGTTGAATTATGTCTCCCCAAAGATATGTTGAAGTCCTAACCCCCGGTACCCGTGAATGTGACTTTATTTGGAAATAGGGTCTTTGCAGGTGTAATCAAATTAAGATTAGGTCATACGGGATGAGGGTGTGTCCTAAGTCCAATGACTGATGTACTTATAAGGAGAAAGAGATTTGGAGACACACAGACACACAGGGAAGTAGGCCATATGAAAATAGAGGTAGAGATTTGAGTGAGGCAGGTACAAGCCAAAGAATGCCAAGGATTGCTAGCAATCACCAGAAACTAGGAAAAGCCAAGGAAGGATTCTTCCCTAGGGCCTTTAGAGGGAGCATGGCCCTGGCAACACCTTGATTTTGGACTTCTAGCCTCCCGAACTGTGAGAGAATAAATTTCTATTGTTTTAAGCCACCCAGTTTATAGTAATTTGTTATAGCAGCCCTAGGAAACTAATACAGGTATCAGTAAAATGGTCAAGGTAAGTTAAATATACTCTTTCCTCGATTATTGTTTAGGTCCATGCCCCAGGAGTCATTGGGAACTTGTTAAATAGTATTTTGATTTTAATCTTACTTTTGTGTACTATTATTTCATTTTATTTAGGGCTACGAGACCAACTGTTGAGTCTTGGAAAAGGCCAAGATCGAACAGAAATGGGAGCTGGAGTATTTATCAACCTTAAATTAACTACAGTAAATCTTGCCTTTGGGTGTTTTCAGTTGTAAACACTTTGTCCTTACAATCATTTCCATCTGCTTAATTACAACACTCTTGATTTACTTAATAGCAGGAAAATTTAAAAAAAATTAGACCTAACCACTTCCTTTGAGTGGTTTGCATCCTCCTTTGGCCATACACTGAGAGCAGGGGATTTGTTCTCAGTATGGAGGAGGAAATTGGAGAGGAGCGGATGAGGTCAGGATGGGGAAATTGGAAAGCTTTCTGTTATCTTATGAGAAAGGTTCCCAGCATGGCTTTCTTTGTGTGTCTTTAAAACATTAAACACGCATATATTCAAATAAGAATATACAAGTACATTCTAAAGCCTGTGTTTATTGAACATTTTTTTTGGCACCTATCTGATGTTCTGACTGGGGCTCGATTAATACATATTTTACTACACTGAAAGTTACTGGAGGTAGAAAAAACTCTTTAGTTGTCTTTATATTCTCAATAGCCTAGCATAATGCCTGGAACATAATAGGCACTTTTAATAGGAAGGGAGAGGATGTTGTTATCCATATTACAGTATAAAAATAATTTAAATGGCACCTCTTCCATGGGAGGGGGGGATATTTGTTTCTTCAACAGTATTAGGAAAACCTCTATGGATGTTTAGTAGAATAACTTAGACTAGGGCTAGTTTGCATCTTTTAAATAAGAATTTTACTATGATGGATATAGTGAGTATGTACTTCAACTTCTCACTTGTTAAATAAACGTAATAAAAGTACCTACCTTATGGGATTTTGAGGATTCAATGGGATAATCTTCTGAGCCTGACAAATATGTTATCTGTACAACAGCTTACTTGATTGAGTTCTTACTAATAATAGTCACAGATAGACTTGGAAGGGGTGAAAGAACATTTTATTTTTATGGTGTATCTCATAACCCACAAAACCTTGAATTCTTTGGGCTACCATTTTAAAACTTTACAAAAACTAGAAATTTTATCAGCTACAATGGCAAGTAATTGTTCAGTCAAGAATTAATTCCTTGAATTTGGTCAGAGGACATATCTAACATAGTAAAACAGATCTAACTTCATCTATTGCTAATTATTGTAACAATATTCTATTGGAGTATCAGCTGAGGCACAAAGATTACAATAGTATAGAATTCAAAAGTGAGGTATTTCATGTGTTTTTTCAAAGTAGATGTTCCAGAATCAGTTAGAGGTTCTGAAACCCACAAGAAGGTTATTTATGGGTCAAGAAACAGTATTTTGTGAAGATTTTTGGAGAAAATTATGCTGTGGCTTCCACCTACCCCATGAGAGAAGTAGAGATACATGGTCTCACTTGATACATAGTGAGAGGCGCTTCAGAGGAACCACTTAGAGAATTTAAAGAATTCTCTCCAGTTGGAGGGCACAGAGACTGGCTTCTGAATCCCCTGAGAAATCCAACAAGGAGAAAACTGTGGCTGGCTAATTGCTCCCATGGCAGCAGCCGCAAGAGAGGTGGCTGTGTTGGAATTTGCCTATACTCCAGCCTTTGTCAAGGGAAAGGAAATGTATTTCCTGCAGATCAGAGGTGGGCCTAGTGGAGGAGAGTGGCAGCCTGGAGCTATTTTGATTTCTGCCCAAGTAGCCTGCCTGGAAGGGCAGTGAGGTCCAGCAGAGTCTTTCCAGTGACAACCAGAAAGCCAGGAAAGGAATGAATTATCCATGTCAGTGGAGCTATAGCCAGAAGGAGCTGTGAGGTGAGACTCTGAAGAATCCACAAAAGTGCATTTGAGAAAAAGAGTCAGCTTCAAACGTCATCAGCCAGGCCCTTTGACAGGACCACTTAAGTTGGAACCTCCTTGCATTCCTTCCCCCAGCCTCCCTCTCTCCCGTTCACACCCTGGAGAGGAATGGCAGTTAGGGACAGGGAGAGGAGGTCATGGAAAAGAAGAACCCAATGCCGTTGTCTCCCCAGCTGGGGTTAGGGAGAAAATTTGATTGCCAAGTGAAGATTGGTTTGTTACCTAAAGTGACTATAAGTTTATCTATTATGTAGCATTGGCCAGAAGAATCCTGCGGGCCTGCTGACGTGGTCATCCAGAGGCAGGGGAAAAATCTTCCCCACCGAATAAATTTTAAGAGGCAGTGAGAGACAAAAATAAAGTTGCATTTGATTATATCCTATAGTTAGTATTTGTTCAACGGACATAAAAATCTGTAATTTTTCATATTTGGCATAGCAGTAGATCAAAATCTGCAGTAATTCACAAAGACTTGTGTAAGGGTTTTTATTCTTGAAAGTACTTTGACTCAGTGAGCATTACATGCAATGTAAAGTGCATGTTCTTGGATTTCTTGATGTAGTCTACTATTTAGTGTCATCACTTTACTTAACTGTAAAAGTGTCATTATCCAAAAATAGATGTTAAGATATTTTCTTCTAGTCTGCCTAATATTAGACTGTTTTAATATTAGATTGTTTGTGACCAAACTTTTAAAAATGGTATTAAATTATTATAAATCCGTGAAATTTTTACGATAAGATAGTAGCCTAAAAAAATACTTATCTCTCCTGAAACAGACTCATACTGAACAGCTCCATGCATCTGGGGCTGGGATAGTGCTAACTCACCTGGCCAGTCAGCCTCTCCCTATTGTCTACTCCTGAATCCCCACTGCCCACATCTAAGTCAAGATGGCGTTGTTTGCACAGTTTCATCACCCTGTGTTGTTTTAAGATTATAGCCACCCTTAATTCTTCCTGGCAAGGGAAGAAAGAAAAATCAAAATATGGCCAATTTAAATACATGTAATTTAAAAGATAATTTAAAATGTAAGAAGACAAAGAAATGAAATTATTAGGAATATGGTAAACTTCCTTTGGACCCAGTAATTAAGAATTGCTCATTTGTATAGAGTCTGGAAGGAGTGTTGGCTGTGCAACGGTTATGTAAGCACTCAGCTGTTAACTGAAAGGCCGTCTGTTCAAACCTAACCAGCTGCTCTGCTGGACAAAGACCTGTCAATCTGCTCCTGTAAAGATTACAGCCTAGAAAACCTTAGGGGGACAGTTCTACTCTGTTACATGGGGTCACAATGAATTGAAATCAACTCCACAGCACCTAACAACAATCTAGGGTCTGGACTTAGTTCCTTTGCTGAGGAAAGAGAGTCACACACTAGCAGACTTGCAGAGCCTGTGGCACTCTAGAGATCATCTATTTCATTTTATAGGACAATTTGTGGTTGGTGTTGTTGTTATCATTAGAACTCTAAATTTTTTTAAAGTGTTTATGTGTCAGATACTGAGGTTTAAATACATTCTCTCTAATCCTTCATATTCCTGGAAAAGTATGTGATCAGTTTTCAAGATAAGTAACCAGACTTGGAGGTGAAGAGACTTGCCCCAAAATATATTGTAGTTGTAGAGCTGAGGCATTTGTAGCCAGGTCTGTCCTAGAGCCCACATTCACTTTGGCCCCATGAGTTTTATCACACATTTTTAGAAGTACTTACAGACTTGGTATCCTGAGATCATTCATTTCCCTGGCACAAAATTATTGTTATTTGTACTCAGTATTTCTGTCTCTTTTTTGTTTTTCTTTTGTTTTGGTTTTTACAGATCAGAACAGGAAGTTATGACTTCTTATTCTCAATTTTTTTTAAATTGTGAAAAACGACATTCAGAAAATAAGATAAAACATATGGATGGTTATATATATAAACACACAGTAATTATTATCCAGGTCAACAAACAAAACCAGAAACATTCTCTGTGCCCCTCTCTAATTATAATTCTCCTCCTCCCCTCAAGAGTTAACCACTATTCTGACCCCAGTGGGCATCATTTCTTGGTAGTTTCACCATCTTCATGTGAATTCCTAGCATTTCTTTTTATTTTTAAAATGAATTTCTTTACATAGATTAGAAGTTGCTTAAAATCATAGCTATCAGTAGAAATTACTAATAGTGTTAGGATCATAGGAAAAATGTTTTAAGAGTACAAACTTTTCAAGAATTTTATTAAATATATAATTGCTGTGCTGGTTATAATTAGTCAATGCTTTGAGCTATGATTCAGATTTGTTACTAATTTATTCCAACTTTCCCTGTATTTAATATCAGTCTCTATTACTTTTTCTGCATTAACATTTTTCTAATATGTATCAGATCAGATGGAGTAAGTTCAACTATAATTTACCGTGTCATAATGTCCTTTTTTCTTTCTCTTTTGCAGCATGGGTAGGTTCTCTGTCTATGGGGATGATTTTCTTTTCCTGTCCAATAGTCAGTGTCTTCACAGACATATTTGGTTGTCGGAAAACAGCTGTCGTGGGTGCTGCAGTTGGATTCATTGGACTCATGTCCAGTTCTTTTGTAAGGTAAGGACTTGGTTTTTTCATGTTGCTTTTTCAGGAACTGCTAGCTATGTAACTGTTTCACACCTTAAAATAAAGTTTTTCTTTCAGAAACTTCCCTATTTACAAGGAAAGGTGTCCCCCTTTTCATTGCTTATAACTTTAAGCAGTATGACGTATAAATTGAACTTTTAATCACAGCAGCAATTCAGACTTTGATAATTTGAATGCTTTTGTTTGCAGTGTCTGAGTTAGCTGTCAGTCAAGATATACCTGTGTGTTCCCCAGAACCAAGAAAAATATTTCTCCTTTTGTTTTTCTCTAGTTTAGATTCAGCTCAGTCTGAGGCTCAAGGGGTACAAGAAGTGGCATTTTAAAGGGGTTGTTCATAGGCTTGATATGAAATGTTTTTATCAATGGGATCAAAACTTTGCTGTTTATTCCAACTCTGGTAGAGGATTCTTGTCTTTACTTTAAAAAAAAAAAAGATGCCAGAATTTTAAAAGATCATGACAAAACGAAGTGGTTGAATGCAGCTTAGAATAAAATTTATATCAATATACTTTTCCTGTGTCCATTAGAAAAAAAGATGTAGTGAATGGAAGAGGCACTAACTGCAAGGAGCTGATGGGCACATTACTGTATGAAACACCTCTCCCTCTATCTCCAATTCTTGTAGTAAATCCGCTTGCATTGTTAGAATGCTCCCCAGTTACAGAATAACTAGTTTAATATGTTGTTCTTGCTAACAGGAGATAATTAACAAGAAAACCTCTTAAGATCATTTCTATCCTCTGTCTCTACCTTAGTGCTTTATCTTTTTTTCCTGATTCTTTCCCTTCCCTAGCTATTAATTGAAAGGCATTATTATCGTCAACAGAAAACACACACACACACACACACACACACACACACACACACACACACACACTTACATTTCTTGCCCTGTTTATTTTTAAATATTTTGGATTTTTTTCAAAAGAATCCTTGGTTTTACTGATTTTACCCTCCCCCCCCCATACATACATACATACGTACACACACACATACACCTTCCTCAACTCTAAAATGAGTTTCATTTTATATTTTCTTTCACCTAACTTAGAAATTTTATTTGGATTCTAAACAACTAACTTTATTTATTGGTACAAATTAGATATTCCACCTTTAAAATACCGTTGTGATTTCCTCCCCTTAGGTTGTTTTTTAAAGGAAAAACAAAACAAAATTTGTTTGGAATAAAATTCTACTTAGATAATTCTGTGAGATTATTTACTTTTAGTTCTTTTTTAGCAGTAATACAGCATTGTGTTATTACTGCCTCATTATGTATCTTCTTTGATCTGGAAGCCTCCGGTTACCCATTGTCAGTACCTGTGGCTTTACTACCTGTAGAATGTATTAACACTCATGCTTTGATGGACAGAGGACTAAGAGGTAGAAAACATATGTGACTTGTTACCTAGTTTGGTAGACAAAACACATATAGAGACCCACTTGGCAAGCAGTCTTTTTCAAACTTTTTTAACCACTGAGAAATAAAAATTATGAAATATATTTTATGTAGTGATCCAGTACATACATACACACGTGCTCCTAACTGAAACAAACTTTTTTGAAACCAGATTTACCTTACTACATGTAATGTTCTCGTTTTTCTATTCAATGTTATTATTTAATCTGCTGGTAAAAAGTTATCAAAATGATTTCATGAGTCATTATCTAGAACTATTGCAGAGCAATACAGTCGGCCCTCTGTATCCGCAGGTTCCGCATCCGCGGATTCAACCAACTGTGGATCGAAAAAAGTATTTTTTTTCCTTCCCCCCTTATCCGCGGTTTCTCTGTTGACTGTTTCAGTTACGTGCGGTCAGTCGCGGTCCCGGCTTGGCTGGAGCCATCGCCTCTGCTGCGCGCACCTGTCACCTGTTCGGCTGTGGCCTGCTGGGATCCGGCTCCCCGTAGTCCTCAGACCACCTCCTAGTCTTCCTTTTTCAGGAGCGTCGGGGCGGGGCCTTGGCATGGGAGTGGGCAGAGGCGGGGCTGGGTTCTTGGGCAAAACCGTTTTATATAAGGGACTTAAGCACTGGTGGATTTTGGTAGCCTAGGGGTGGGGGCTGGGGGCGGGGGCTGGAACCAATCGCCCACAGATACCGAGGAACACCTATATATAGGAGCAAGGGGAAATGTGGTACAAATTCTAGGTGCAGAGTGGTGGATCGACCACTTTTCCTGTAGGTCCAATTTTGCCTTCTCAGTAAAGTCTTCTCCAGCCAACCCCAGGTCGCATCAGTGTTCCTTCTCCGAATCATTTTGGCAGATATAATTGATATTCATTTGGCAAGTGAATAAGTCAGAGTAAATTCCACTGATTTACCCTGACCTATTCATTTGCCAAACTCCCAACAACTGGAACCATGTATTACTGAGGTGAAAATTCAGAAGTAAGTGAAAAAGTTTCAGCAGTGAAAATACCATCACAAAGCTCATGTATTTTACTCTATAGAAGAGGTATGAAGCTAATCTTGCCCAGAGCTTGGTATTTAAAATCGTGTGCAAAAGAATGTTTTCGATTTAATATATATGGCTATCTGGTTTTCCAACTGACAGCATTATAATATGGTGGTATAACTGTATAGAAATTAATGTTCATAATACTGTGCTGTCAATGTTATTTTTAATATATGCTATTGAAGAAGGCAGAGAAATGTATAATAGCCCTTAGACTTTCCTCCAAGAATTGTTAAATGAAAACAGGTTGATACTTAAGAAGTAAGTTGGAAAACTACTTCTGTGGGAAAGCTGATGCAGAATGAATGAAGTACTATTTTATATTTTGTACTGTATTCTTATTATTTTGGGTATTTTGATTCACTAAGCAGACTATGAGTAGCTTGAAGGCAGAACCACATTTTAAAGTATTTTTCCCACCAAGTACATGATAACATAGTAGCTGCTTGATATATGTTTGTTGAATGAAGAGTGCAGAATTCAGTAAAGCGTGAGGTAAAGTTAATCTGGGAGAGTCTAGAAGTGATTCTTGAGCCTGATTTAAAGATGGATTAATGGAGGGGGAAGGACATCTCAGACAGAATTGCCAACATACTTTAATTTTATCAGATTCTAGAGTTCTTTCTGATTACTTTGGCATATTGTTATACTAGCATTATTCTCCAATATTTAATTCTTAACTAAGTTTATCCATCTTAGTTTCTAATAAATAGTTTCCCTTTAATACTGACGGTCTTTTGAATTGGACTTTTCAAAAGAAAAAGCTTTAGTTTTACTCCTTACCCTAATTGATTCAAAGAATGTAATGATGTGATCTTTTACCTTGGTGAGAGATGTGTAATTATTTTGCTAAACTATAATTTTCTTAATCTTTTCTTATTCTTTTGAGACATTCATGGCCTAAAAGCTTATAAACTGGGATCACTCATGGACACACCTAATTTAGTCTTTCTGCAATCAGAATGATTTCTTGTTATCTTGCCCAGCACTGAGAGCAGCGCAACACAGGGCGAAGGTTGGTCTACAGCCCTTAGGCCAGCAGAAATGAGGCATAACTGCTCCTCTGTGCAAATGTTCCTGACATAACCTTGGCGAGAAAAGTCAAATGCAGCTTTTTCTTTTACTAGATTGCTTAGTAGGTACCTGAGAAAACTCCAGTAAAAATTAATGTTTTTTAATATTTAAAATTCTTTTTTTTTTTGTAAGCTTTATTGAAACTAGGGCTTTTGTTGAAGCCCCGGTGGTGCAGTAGGTAAGAGCTCAGCTGCTAACCCAAAGGTCGGCAGTTCAAATCAACCAGCTGCTCCTTGGAAACCCTATGGGGCAGTTCTACTCTGTCCTGTAGGGTCACTGTGAGTCGGAATCGACTCAGCAGCAACAGGTAGTAGTAGGGCTTTTATTTGTTAGTCACTGTCAGTTTTACTGAGCCTTTCCCAGCACAGTCCTTTATTTCTGAGCTGTGTACAGCACAATAGTCCTTTCCCAGTGCTGTCTGGTTCACCTAAAATCCATGTAAGAGGAGGAGGAACAAAATCACTCTTGACTTTAATGGTCATTTTTTACATATTCGAGGCATTTTTGTTGTCTATTCAGATTAAATTAAAATATTTTTAGTGTTGCATTAAGTTTATTAAGTTTTCCCTCTGTTTTTAGTTAATTTTTATTTGTAGAAAATATGTTGATTAACTAAAACCCACTTTTGCTATAAGATTTTATTCTACCAAACACATGATAAAAATAATGAAAGCTGCTTTCCATCTCTTTCATCTTTACACAGTTCCATCGAGCCTCTGTACTTTACCTATGGGATCATATTTGCCTGCGGCTGCTCCTTTGCATACCAGCCTTCACTGGTCATTTTGGGACACTATTTCAAGAAGCGCCTTGGACTGGTGAACGGCATTGTCACCGCTGGCAGCAGTGTCTTCACAGTCTTGCTGCCTTTCCTTTTAAGGGTTCTGATTGACAGTGTGGGCCTCTTTGACACACTGAGGGTCCTCTGCATCTTCATGTTTGTCCTCTTTCTGGCTGGCTTTACTTACCGACCTCTTGCTTCCCGTGCCAAAGATAAAGAGAGTGGAACCAAAGGAAGCAACAGATTCTCCCTCTTTTCCAGGAGAAAGTACAGTCCTCCAAAAAAAATTTTCAATTTTGCCATCTTCAAGGTGACAGCTTACGCAGTGTGGGCAGTTGGAATACCACTTGCACTTTTTGGATACTTTGTGCCTTATGTTCACTTGGTGAGTATGCTCGTTTGGTTTCTCTGGTAACGGATATTATCATTCCATGCAGGAAAACTTCTTAGAAAAGCAAGATAAATCAGGTTGAAGTTGGCCTCAAATATTACCCTGGTTATAATTCAGAGACTCTTGAAATTAAAGTTCTCTCTCTCAAGTCAAGGTCAACACATCCATCAGACCATTAAACAGAGGATCTCTTTCATTGTGTGCTTTGGTACTTTAAGCATCTCTAAACCCAAACAAACAAAAACAGCTGTAAAAAAATGAAGGCTAAAGCCTTGGAACAAATGATATCAACACGAAAAATCTGATAGGTCACATTTCCTTCAAGTGATTTACTAATCTTAATGAGGGACAGAGATGATGCAGTGATTTTGCCAGCGTAAGTTATTTTTCAACAAAAGGGTGTAGAAATTAGGTAGTTAACAAAGCAGCCGATGGCCTTGACATAAAGCTGTGTTACATCTACTTGTGGGACGCTCCAGGGAAACAGAAATTCTATTCAGAAGAGTATTTGAGAAATATTAGGGCAGTTCCAAATGAGGGGCCAGAGCTAGGGTTTCATAGAGAATCAGGATTTCAAATGGTCAAACAGTTTATATTGTTTATTTCTGTTCCAAGGGGCAAATTTCAACCTACTGATCCTAAAACAAGAATAAGCAATATCTACAATATTTGCCTCTGGCCAGACTTACTCAAAAGTGTTCATTATATTCCCTCCTTTTTTCTTGCTGTTGTAACTGGAAATGTATTTACAGTTCCACACAATTGATAAATAATAAAGAAAAAATGATACTAACATAAATTTTCCGTGTGTGTGTGAGAGAGAGAAAGGAAAAAGGAGATGGAGACAGCGGAGAGGAGAGAGAGCGCTTGGATCTTTTCTAACTTACCATCTACTGCTTTTGGAAATTTATGTAATTTTTCTCTGGTTAAGAGTTTTGGGGAAAGTTGGTATTAGCAGTTCAAGAAGCTAGCTAGTAAACTACATCATCAACATTTTCTGGGTCTGTGACGGCGCAGTTGCTAAAGTAATCGACTGCTAACTGAGGGGTCAGCAGTTCAAAACCACCAGCAGCTCCATGGGAGAACGATGTGGCAGTATGTTTCCATATAGATCTACAGCCTTGGGAACCCAGTGAAGTGGCTATGAGTCAGAATCGACTCGACGGCAGTGGGTTTGGTTTTTGTTTTATGGTTAGTTGAAAAAGGAATTAGGCCAAGGAAACAAGGGAAATGTTAGCCATGTCCTCAGTCTAAGAATAACTTTGATTTTTTCAATTCTCCTTATTTTCTTCTTGCTAGAGCTGTTGAGAAAGCAACTGGGATGACCAATGGAGAGACAAGAGGAAGGAATAGGTTTTAGTACTGTTAGCCACTTGGCATTTTTCTGGAGACTGAGATACTAGGTAAAATGACATAGTGTGGGATGCCTGTCACACACACAATATGTGGACACATTTTGATCCGATAGTCCATTTTCACATTTTCAGGAAGGCATATTTGAACCACCTGCAGCCATGTTTTGTTGGGATATAGCTCCATAGTGGAAGGATCCACTTTACTAACCTACCTCTTCCATCATTTCTGTAGTCAAGAGCACGTTTATTGTCCTCTCTCAAAAACAAGTAGAAATGTCTCCCCCTCCTCCCCCTCTTTTTAACGTTCTTTGGTACTACCAGGTGAACGCACCCAGAGAAATTACTGTCTCAGCTTTGCTGAACCAGACATTTACCAAAGTACAAGTGGTAGGTAATTGTCTAGTTATATCTTTATAGTTTGTAAATTCATGTCATATATAATACTTCATTTGACCTTCACAACATGCCTGTGAAGTAAGCAAAATAAGTAATAATAGCCCCCACTTTACAGACTGCAAAACAGATCTATCATGAACCAAGATGTTAAGTGATTTCTCAAGAATCACCGTCAGTTAACAGCAGAGCAGGGGTTGGTTCTCTTTGACTGTGCTTACCTAGTAGTAAATCTGGTACAATCTTACTTAGTAACAAGTTGGGCTGCTTCCCTTGGTATATCACTAGACGTTTCCGTCTTACTGCAGGAGGAAATGAGTACTGCTAAGGAAGTTTAATATGTATGTTATTAGTCTTTTTCTTAAGGTAAATCATATTTCATAAACCTGTTGCCCCATTGCAGTCAAGTCAATTTAATAAATAAGACAATATTATAGATACTACTGTAATCAGGAGGCTGTGTATTAGGTAGTACACAGGACAATAAGGTCTCTTTTAACTCTAGTATCAAACTATACCTTTTTCCTGCTCTCCCTCCTTCCAGGCATGTTTTCTTAGAAAAATATGTTGAAATTTTTCATTTGGAGTGCTCTTTTTGTTAAACTGTTGTAGGACTGAAAGCCACTTTGGAGAGGAACCGTAAGACAATTTAATGCTACGGAGACTTCTTTAAATCTCCTCTTTGTGGGTGCACTAAATTTGTCACTTGGTTGTAATTTAAGGTTTGAATTATGGATACTTAACCCAGGCTTCATGGACTAGAATGTCACTTTCCTTCTTAGGAGGGGAAAAGGTCTCTCAAATCCTTCTAAAGACTAGTAGATGGCATTCAATTCATAGTAAACTCTAATGGATGTTGAAAGGGATGCACATATAAGGCATAAGAACCTGTCCTGAAGGAGCATAAAAGCTAGTAAATATAATAATAAAAACTTTCATAATTTGCAAAGCATTTTTACATGTGTTATCTTAATCTTTACAACAATGCAGTACCTATGATAACATCACCCTCATTGCATGGATGAGAAGACTGAGGCAATGAGAGTTAAATAAGTTGTGCAAGGCCGTAGGAAGTGACTTATTGATAATTATTAGTGTAGTTCTTTGATGCAAGAGGCAGTATAGTATAGTGCCTAAAGGTGAACACTCTTTGCAGTGAGACAGAGCTGGGTTTAAATCCTGGTTTGGGCCCTTACTAGCTGCATAACTTTGGGCAACCACTGTCTAAACATCCGTTTTCTCATCTGCAAAGTAGGGATAATCCCAATTTTGCTGAGGAGTTGTGAGGATTAGAGAAAATGTATGTAAATCATCTCGCCCAGTTCCTTACATAAAGATGGTAGTTATTTCAATTTAAGACAGTGTGATTGCCCTATGAGTGCTTCTGAGGAGGAGCTATACAAGGTTCAAAAGAGAAAGACCATATCCATTTGGGAAGATGGTTAGGAAAAGCTTCATAACATTGGAGTTGGGCCTTGAGCATGAGGTTTCATTTTAAAAATGGATCCTTAGTCAACTAGGAGCTAATTTATCAATCTAGGTCTTCTTTGAAAATTTAGAAGTAACCATGAGTACTCTCATGGTTATGTTAAAAATTTTAAGATCTTTAGTTGTTTATTAGGCAGTATTCAGTGATTTGAGAGAAAACATTGATGGTTTGTGGCAAGCTTTCTCTCAAAGCAAGGATGGAGATTTTTATCTTTTAGTAGTCGGCTTTTAAAAATGAAGAATCGTATTGCCTCCTATTGTTATTGCTAGTTGCTAGCGAGTCGATTCCAACTCATGGAGACCCCATGTATGCAGCGTAGAACTGTCCCATATGGTTTCCAAGGCTGTAACCTTTGGAGGAGCCCTGGTGGTGCAGTGGTTAAGAGCTCAGGCTGCTAATGAGATGGTTGGCAGTTGGAATCCACCCTATGGGGTAGTTCTACTCTGTCCTATAGGGTCACTCACAATGAGTTGGAATTGACTCGATGGCAACAGGTTTGTTTTTTTTTTTTTAGCTTAACCTTTTCGGAGCAGATTGCCAGGCCTGTCTTCTGAGGCTCCTGTGGGTGAGTTCAAACTGCCAACCTTTTCAGCTAGTTGGTGAGCATTTAACTGTTTACACCATCCAGGGACTCTGTAAAAATGGCATGGGGGCCATGTCTGACCTCCTCTAACTTCTCAAGGGGGAAAAAGAATCAAGATCAGCACACAAGGCTGATTCCTATGAGGTGGAGGCCAGACATGCCTCCTCTCTCCGCCATCTTTACCAATTCTGACACCAACTGTTCCTGCCACTGTACTCTCTACTTCTCTGCTGGTAACACACAACTCACAGGCAGTACTCACGATTATGAGGTTTATCAGAGAAGTAACAGGTTGCATTTCAGGCTCAGGAGCACTCAGGATACAGTTCTTCCATCAGGACAGCCACTTCCCAACCGTGCCACAGGCCTCTCTCTGGCCCCTTGGCCTCCGCCTTGCTCAGGCAAGTGTTACAAAGCTCTTTTATAGCTCTGCCAATAAGTGCCCAGAGGCACCCGACTCCACCAGTAAGCCTTGACCCAAAGGCACTCAGCTTTCTAACTCTACGGGCCGGGAAGCTCACTGCGCTGTCTCCTGCCAGTCTCTCCTGCCGGTTTCTCCTGTTGATGTTTCTCTGCCACTACTTCTCACTGTCTTCAGTGTTAACAGCTCTCTGTCTTCTGGGTCCAGGAGGTTCTCAACACAGGGATCCCGGGTCCAAAGGACACACTCTGCTCCTGGAATTCTTCCTTGGTGGTGGTGGGAGCCTCTCTCTCCCACCTCTGGGTTGGCTCACTTCAAGCCCAGCAGGATAGCAAAACTGACCAGTTCCCTTGGTGGACCACAATTACCCTATTTGCACAGTCCCACCCAATCACTTGGGTGGGAGTTACAAGACCATGGTGAGAAAAGCCACACAAAACCAATCCATCATATCGCAGACTCATTTCTTCCTAGAAGCTGTCAGATAATCTCTTTTAAGCTTACCCACTTGTACTTCTTTATTTCAAGGGTACATGTCTTCTAGATCGTTTTAAATTAGGCTTGACATTCCAAACCCCACATGTCTGTCAGTTTGTCATACTGTGGTGGCTTGCATGTTGCTGTGATGCTGGAAGGTATGTCACTGGTGTTTCAAATACCAGCAGGGTCACCCATGGTGGATAGCTGAGCTTACAGACTAAGACAGGTTAGGATGAAGGACCTGGCAATGTACTTATGAAAAAATCAGCCAGT